GATCAAAGGGAACAGGTAACTCAAAACAATAAAGTTTTAGTCATTTTTTCTGGGTTATTTTTCTTTAAGATAAAATTATCTTCACCGGCCACATCCATGATTTCATATTTTTGCACTAATAATATTGTGTAGGATTCCGCCGAACACCAGAATCCATAGCCACTTTGTCCGGCAGCGCCACGGTATTGAAAATAGGAACTAAAAACTGACAAAGCGGCGGGTAATGACACGCTGTTTTACATTACGGCTAGCCGTATTGAAGAACGTTTGGCGCCGAATACATTCCGGCGGATTTTCATTCAGCCGTATTCAATCCGGCTAAACGTTAATCCGCCGTATTACAAAACAGAGCTGTAATGCAAAATGCCTAGCTGTAATGTAAAACGGCGGATTATACAATCTGACTGCGACATTTACATTTACAATCTTGTATGTTTCCTGTCATAATAAAAAAACACTACTTTGGTTAGGTAGCCTATCATAGGTTTCTGTTCTGTTCTGCCAATGATTTTTTATAAAAGTTGAACCTCCTACGTAACAGTAATCAATAATGTTATAATCACTATAACCTAAATGTTGCGTAAAATCCATTTATTAAGACACAGGACAAGACTGAACAATTTAGTGAACATTTTAGTTTTCGCTTCAGTTGAAGTAAAGTGTATAATCGGGCTATATTTCATTACCGTGATATTATACATAATGCGACTTAACGACGTTACCGAAACTCCTCGATAAACGTGGTTTGTGTAGGAAGTTAGTCTGAAAAAGTGTTGTACATGTATTTTTAGGCAGCTGTATGTATTGTAGTCTTACTTAACTAAGATTCATAAGACAGTGGTGACTGAGTTTGTTGCGGCGCTTCTTCTCAGCACTTGCGAAATGTTTGTCTCGAAGCGCTGGTAGGGCAAAAAAAGAATGAGACATGTCATAGGCTCCTTAAGAGCATTTGACGATTTGCAAGTACTAATTTAATGAGTCTAAACAAATAAAGATAATTTTGATTTTGATTTTTTTGATTTTGAAAGAGTTTCCAATGACAGTTTAATTTTCCCCCCGGAAAAACTTGCCTTTCACTGGTTGGGTTTTTATTGACGGTGAAGCTGGCTACACAGGACTTGCAGCGGTTGGAATGAGAGATGGGAACAGTCCCAAAAAAAGGCAAAAGGCTCATGGCAATTACAGTAAAAAGATGACTCGTTATCATCAGTCATTCAGTCTCCACAGCAGGAGAAAGAAACTCCCTTTCTTATTTGCCAGAGACAAATGGAGGATGGAAATGTCGTGCTCTGAGTGCCTGAGCAACTGCTCGCAGGAGGATTTAATGAATGCTGCTGACAACACCACTCTTGTAGCGGGGTTTTGAGCTGACACTGTGTAGGTTTGTTGTCGAAACGACAAGAATAATGGAGGATTTGGCCTAAACTCTGTTAGAGAATGTCATGAAAATGAAAAGACGTATGTACCACGTAAATTTCTTCGGATATTTTCAGAATATTTCAGGTACACTGACTACCGGATACGGAGAGAGTTCAAGAGCCCGGAAGTCTACAGTGACAGCCGGGTTGTCATAGAATGTTATTTTTTCAGAAGGATGGTTATGTTTATGATTACAGTAGTTATAATATCTTAATTGTTAACAGTATAAAAGAGCTTCCTAGATAAAATAAATTGTGTCAATTGAGAGGGAGCTGTTTTATTTACATTTCTAATTACAACACAAATAATAACGAGTGTCAGTGTAGTTTGTGTTTGCACAAAATACGAGTATGTAGTTTCTTTTATACACATTTGTCTCTTAGGCCCAGAACAGACGGTGAAACGCAACTGCAATGAAACTGCAATTTTCTGATGATTCTGATGACTGAAACTGAAACTGAAAGTTTCAAACTGGTCGCGTCATGTGTGGTCTCTCAACGGACGCTATGGCAGAGACTTAGATGCAACTCAAAAGTAACTAGCAGTTGAAGTTTCGTTGCAGTTGCGTTTCACCGTCTGTTCTGGGCCTTAGTCGACTTTTACGACTCCACGGAAAGAGTATGAGTGACCCTATTCTACTCTGCCATTCAATACCAACTTGGTCTTCAAATATCCTTGAAATTAATTCTAATATATTTCCAATTAAATCTGGAGAGGGTCGCGGGAGGTGCCTGCTGGATGCGGGCGGCGCAGGACCGGTCGTTGTAAAAATCCTTGCGGGACCCCTTTGTCCAGTGGGCGTCATTTGGCTGAAACAAACGAACGGTTTCTAATTAATTTAGTGACGCAATCACTTAAGTTAAATCATAGCAACTTTTTATAGCATCTTTCGTGTTTAATTCGTACCTACTGAACATATTTCTGTGGCGGATTTAAGTAGAAGTTCCGCTGGAAGTTGCAACACTTAGTCACGAATCGTAATTGTATGTTAATAATTTCGCTGGTGCGAATTTTCCAATGATGTAAGTTCGGTAATTATTATCCAATGGATGAGAAAGTTTGGGAAATTGAGGAAAATTCTAATGTTTTATTATTATACCATGAATAAGGAAATAGAGGACTACACGACACTTATACGACACTTGAGCATGATGTTGAGTGGATGTACCGTTTCGGTGACACGCACATTAGAATTATTATTATAATTACCGACTCTATTTAGTTTTAGTTTAGTTAGTTGTTTTGTTTCGCTAAATAAAGTATTTCATTTTCATTATATTTTCCTTTCAATTATTCAAAGATTTCTTCAAACTCTCTACATAATAAAAAAAACTTACAAAGTCTGCTCTTTATTTATTGTTTTAGTATAGATTCTCAATCTCTTTAAACATACCATTTGGGTTTACCACTGTGTTAATTAAAAATACACGGGTAATGTACTTAGATCTAGTATTAGGGCAACTAAGTAAATATTACTACGTTTATATTTTATTTCATTTCGGTAGGTAGGTACAGAATTCTCTACCATAATTTTTTTTCTAACTATTGACAACATTCCAAAAATCTCAATGACCTATTAATTAATTAACTGGACAATAGTATTTGAAACTTTGAAATCAAATCAAATTATTAACTCTAATCAAAAGTTTTAGTGGCCAAATGACTCTACCATATGGTATTTATGATATCTTTGATAAATCTTTGTCAATAATGTACAAAAAAAAATAATTTATAACGTAATTTCTTTGTAGTAGGTATTATCAAGCTACTCGATAAATGTTTCTGTACTATTGTAAATAAATCAATACGGCAATCGTCGTCCAGTTTATGCAAAACTGAATTTATTATAGCTATTTCAAAGATCCCTTATAAAAATTAAGTTGAACGTGACTGAAAATGATTTGTTGACACTTAAATCGGGAAGTCCCTAATGAAAATTATTTTTTTGCAACTCATGTTATTTAGCATAATAGTTAGTAAAATTGCTCGTGGGATTAAAGTTTTAAAGAGGAACTTCTGCCAATGACATTATGAATGGATGTGTGGTTTCAGTATCTGCAGCACTTTATTTATTACGAAAAGTACTCATAGTTTTCATAACGTTCATAACTAGTATAGGTAACCCATCAACATCCACGGGGTGTCCATAAAAACTTTCATGCCTATTTTCACCTTTATTAGGTATTTATTACGGTGCCACACTTAGCAAAGCATCTATTAGTAAGTACGTATGCATCTTCTCCTAATCCCCATTTATTCTTTCTTCTCTATACCAGAATTCGTCAAAATCCGTTCATTTAGGCGTGAAACCGTGACAGACAAATTAACTATACTTTCGTATTATTACATTAGTATTGTAAAACGTTTATCAAAGCTGTTTGTATCGATCGTGTCTTCAGAAGCCATTATCACTGATCTACCTAGATACAATGCTTTCAGCATTCAATAAGTCACTGCAGACTGCCAGAAAACTTGGAAGATTTGTATAGAGTTGATAAAACATTTCTATAATATTTTTTATGATTAAAGAAGAAAGAAAGATCTCTAGCTTTATTTTATTTTTATTTTAACTTTGAAGATCATAGGCTTGTTTTATGTTGTAACTCGTCTTAATTTGTACAGTGAATGTGAAGTGATTTACCAGTAATGATTAAGTATTGAGATAATATGTCTTTAATATATTATTCACTTTATTAATAAATTAAAAGCATGCTGATCATAAATATTCGAGGCAGTTGTATCAACATACGTTGAATTAGATGAACATATTTTTGTTACAGGTTACATACAATATTTTACCTTAGTATCGTTGAAAAAATCGGTTAAAAAAATAGAGATCCATATCAAGTTCTCTCTAGATTTTTAGGGATATTTGTTGCAATTCAGGATGGCGAGTGAGCTTTACATGTATGGTGCCTCTCTGTTCGTTTTTCAAAAGTTTTGATAGACATTACACTATCGTTATGTATGTACCTACATGTACACGTACACACACACACACGTAAAGCTCACTCGCTTTCGTGAATTGCAAGACTATAATATTTGCTCTGAAAAACGATCTCGAGAGTTTTCCAGCGATTAAAAAGAAAATCGATTCTTTGTGTTGTATTTGTGTCATTCATGGGAGAAGTTGGTATAAAGGTAGTTAAGTTAAGGTAGAAAAGAATCAAATTCCCTACATCTATTGCAATCTTTCAACCCTATCTTATGTAACATGCAACAAAGAATTTAAATTTACATTAAGGAACGCTAGATATAAAAAAATACCGATTAGTGACATTGGAGACTTATTTTTGCGTTTCCCATAAAAACTATCATGCACTTTTTCCCAAATCCTCTCATTTTCTCTTATGGCCGAAGTTCAATATAAGAATATTCAATATAAGAAGTGATATTAATATCAAAAAAAGATAATACCCTTCAGCATGTTGAACGTTTAACTTTCTTCTATGCATGAAATCGACGGAAGTCCACAAGTCCTTGCCAAATATTGTTTCAGCAACTCTATACAGATCTATCTCAGCCGTTCACTGGACGGAGCGAACCTTCCTATAAATACAAGTACTCGAAGTTGCCCAGCACATTACCTCACTGCGAGCCAGGGGCCACTCCCCGCCTAAACCGATAACGATTAAACACTGTGAAAGTATTGGAAGGTAGACTAGACTTCAGTGATGCTGTGTCGCTTTTTTGAGTGCTTCAAGTGTTTTAGCTATTAAATTAATAAATTGTATTTTAGTGATAAAGTTTTTGTGTTTCAGTACGACTGAAGAGTATAAATATGAAGGCGTTTAGGACAGTTCTGTTGTGCTTAGGTAAGTTAATCTATACTTATAATAAATCTGTAGAAAGGTCAATTCTGTACATGAAATATATTTTCAAAATAACTATCAGGGGATGATTAGTGATCGATACTGATGCCAAAAATGCAATCAGTAAAATTTTTGTCTGTCTGTCTGTCTGTCTGTCTGTCTGTCTGTCTGTCTGTCTGTATGTTCCTTATAGAAACAAAAACTACTCGACGGATTTTAACGAAACTTGGTACAATTATTCTTCAAACTCCTGGGCAGGTTATAGGATACTTAGGAATTCCCACGGGAACGGGAATAAGCGGGAAAATCCTTTTGTATGAAAAATCTAAACCGCTTAAGTTATACGCTTGAAATTTGGCATGCAGGTACCTTAGTAAACTTAGAGCTTAGTTACAACAGGATATTGCAAAATTCCCACGGGAACGGGAGTTAGCGGGGAAAAAACATGAAGGGGGCAAAGCGGGATCCACGCGTACGAAGTCGCGGGCGGCCGCTAGTTTTATTTAAAATACAATATTTATCTTAAAGCTCTATTTAAAACCACATTGAATCAATTATCATGATAGGAAAATTACGCTTTTTTCAGAAAATACAGACTTTTCTAAACTCTACATTCACTAATTTATTTCTATTTAATAATTATATTATTTCAGTAATCACTCTTGTTACTAACGTAATGGTTGCATATCATAATAATATATTAAATACGCGCACTTTATTTTAATTAATACATAATACAATATTTCATTCATAATTAAATCAACTTGAATAATGTTAAGGCTCTTGACTTTCCTGTTAGTAAAATAATACCCGAATACTGAGATTAATTTTATTAATATTAAAATTTATTCAAGAAGACACTAAAAGCCTGTGAACGAATGTACAATACACATTGAATTTCAGAGGCAAATAGATATAAGCTTCTGAAAGTCTGCTTGAATGAAACTTGAGTAACGGTTCAGACTTTTATCAACGTTTTCAGTGAATTTGAAAGATGAATTTTTGAGCAAAGGTTTTCAGCGGTCTTTGAACAGAATCTAGAATGATTCAGTTGATCTTTCAGGTTGATTTGCAAGTCTTAAGCTTAGAATATTTATTGCCTATCTCTAAAACTAAGTAACAAGGGAAAGTTGAAACATACACGTATCTAAGTCATAACTTATTAAATTAAAATAGAGCACTATATTAACCCACATTCTCTTATTAAATTATTTCATGACACCATATTAACATTCTTACATAGAGGAAATTAATAACCTTATTTATGAAAAGAGTTATTATTTAAGTATTACATAAATCAATTACTTTAATTAACAGTTTTAAATGTCCTATATTTATTATAATTTATGAAACCAATCAGTCGTAGCAAAGTGGGTTAATAAATCGCTTTTTATTACGGTGAAGAGAATGCTTAATTATTTTTATTGTTGCGTAAAATACAATTTAATTATTGAACATTGATGTGTTCGATGTTTGTTAAAAAGATTCTTTTGTTGCATGTTATTGGTTTATTGTATAATAATTCATGTAACGCGTATTTCGGAAGTTGATTTTGTATTCACGCAAGTTTTAGTTCCTCAACGTATTAACGCGTTACTACGTAACGTTATTTGATAACGATAGCGTTGCGGTTACCATATTTAGTGCAATGAATGGTAATTATGAGCGTTTTGTTAGCGGAGTGTGATCGCGAAACGCACGGATGGCGTCGATTGTTGGTGGGATGTTTTTCATTTGCTTTTTGTGGAGATTAGTATCTTTGTCAACTTTTCAATGGTTTCTAATTGACAGATTTTAAAGGTTTTGTTGAGAATATTAGAACCTAACTACTTTTATCGTAGATGTGTAGGCTGTAATTGATATTTTACAGGAGAAAGACATTAACTTTGGATTGGACTTAGGTTTTACTTAGCTTGATTTATTCAGGACTCATGAAAATATTGTCTACTAACAGAGAAAATAAGTACTCTAAAGATAATGCAGATCATAATAAATGATCATATAGGTCCTACTTCAATCGAAAATTTCGTAATGCTGTCTCTACCATACGTGTCCTTCTGAAAACCTATATTATTCAGGTAAAACCCTAGGTAGACGCTGAAAGCTTAAAACCCAGAAAAATCAAGTCAAACTCTCTAAACACTAAAGGCTGAGCTTTGAACAAGTTAAATATCCTCAATCCATATTCCAGGCACCCTCTACGTCGCCGCCGCTGCCCCTGTCGCCCGCGAAAGCGCTCCCCAACAGGCCGAGTACGAATATGACTACGAGTCCTCCGGCCAGGTCCAAGCACAGGAGCCCCAAGAGTCTGCAAGCCATTACGACGCTTATATCCAGGACGTTAAGGCCGCTGCCACCGGCGACAACCAGAAGAAAGGTTTCAGCAGAGGCAGCGGTCTGAGGACCATCGCTGTAGGCTCTGCCAATCAAGCGAAGACAGCGCTGGGTAACCAAGCGGCTGCGGCGTACCAGGCGGCGTATGTAGCGAAGAACACTTTAGCCCAGTCAGCGGCTCAGGCTAGTGCGACAGCGCAGGCAGCGCTGGCTGGAAAGCAAGTGATTCTGTCGGGGTTGGAGCAGCAAGTCAGAGACGCTAAGGTCGGCCTGCAAGGAGAAGAAATGCAGCTGCAGCAAGCTAAGAGAGCAGCCCAGTCCGCGGCGCAAGCGGCTCAGCAAGCTATGCACCAGGTGAGTTTAATTTAACCAAGACTTATAAACTAACTAGTCTAAAACACGTCCTCTGTAGAAGTTATGAGCCCTCTAAGCTTAGCTATATCCCGGTAAAGCTCAAGAAAGTCTACCTACCTGTCCGAAAAAAGGCATATTCCTACTTAATTATGATAAAAATCTACTTGAAGAAGACTTTACTGAACTTCAAGTTTTTCACAATCAGTTAAGATCGATTACATTTGTCTGTTTGGATCAAAACATCGATGTTTCTTATCATAGTAGAAGAAAATTACTATTTTGCTCTTACTTTTAAATGCGTGTCATTTAAACAACTTTAGCTAGACAGCAGAAACGAGGTTTTAAAAGGTAGGTACAGTTTAATAAGCTCTCTACCGAAAGTCAACTAGTAATCAAACAGAAAAATCAATTGCTACATGCCTACTTAGCTACTATTTTTTCGTGTGTAAGAACTATTGTCATTCCCATAATACTGCTCTACTTTTACTTGTATTGTAGCGTAGTGAACAAAATTGATTTCAAATTGTTTATTTTGCGAAGCGAACTTGCAACAAAGTTATTGGTTTTACATTCAATTCAACAAACCGTTTAGCAACATCGTCTACAATGCTCCAATTTAAATAATTTCCAATTAATTGTAATTCAAATCATACGCAATGTAAACTATAAAAAGCTTGACAGTGATCTCATTTCGAGTTGCATATTTTAAAAGAAACCATCGACTTTTTGTTGCTCGTTTAGTTCGTGAAAAAATCGCAACGGCTTACGTAACACTTAGATGGAGTCTGGTGATGAAAATGACAAAACAAATAAGTGGATATTGGTTAGAAATAATTGTTTACGTAAGTCTAATCGGTCCAGTTCCTACAAGAAATCGTTCGATTTGACCGTGTTGCTCTTTTTGGTCTGGAAAATGGGCAGTTTTATTGCAGCTGTCATTTTTAAAAAACATTTCGCAGTTTGCAATTATTTGAAGTTCTGGTTTACCCGTTTTTGCAACGCTGCAGACTGCGTTATCATAAGTTGTAGAGTAAAAAACAATAAAAAAAGCCAGTTCAAGGTAGTTTGACAATGACCCCGCTAGTCATGTAGTTCGTTGTTTCGATTTGATTACGATTTAACATTTTCTTTGGTTGATCTATGTTATAATCGGATATTATGAAACTTACGACTGTTACGCTAACGCTATTTCAGATTTTCATAACTTGAGTGAATAATTCATGCGATATAAATAAAATAATCGTAATGGTTGATCGTAATATTGTCTCATTAAATGACACAAAATGTTACTAAATTCCAGTTAATTTTGGCTAACATAACTTAAAAACATTCAATTAGTACATCAACGCAGATAAATTTTCATATTTAATATTACAAATTGGTCTAAGCATTGTTGTTTATTTAGACATTAACCAATATTGAATTGGATATTGCTGTTTCAAGCCTTTTTTGCGGAGTTAGTGACAGGTCACAGTCAAATTGCAACCGCCATTCGACGCGCCATCGGTATTGCAGTCGCAGGCGCACTTGCGACAATTTTCGCAAAACAACTGTCCAATGTTGAAATCACAACCAGTAAATCGATATTTTTTCCAAATCGATAGCCTTTATTTATTTTGAAGTATCGCGCGAGAATCGTGCCAATAAATTTGGTAGGAAGTACAAATCTCCTTGACTTAATACACTCGTGTACTTAGTTAATTATTTATTTGTTTTGTGCACAATAAATCAACACTATCTGATATCTATACTTATAATAAATCTGTAGAGAGGTCAATTCTGTACATGAAATATATTTTCAAAATAACTATCAGGGGGTGATTAGTGATCGATACTGATGCCAAAAATGCAATCAGTAAAATTTTGTCTGTCTGTCTGTCTGTCTGTCTGTCTATCTGTCTGTCTGTATGTTCCTTATAGAAACAAAAACTACTCGACGGATTTTAACGAAACTTGGTACAATTATTTTTCATACTCCTGGGCAGGTTATAGGATACTTAGGAATTCCCACGGGAACGGGCATTAGCGGGAAAATCCTTTTGTATGAAAAATCTAAACCGCTTAAGTTAGACGCTTGAAATTTGGCAAGCAGGTACCTTAGTAAACTTTAAGCTTAGTTATAACAGGATATTGCAAAATTCCTACGGGAACGGGAATTAGCGAGAAAAACATTTGTATGAAAAAATCTAAGCCACGTAACATAGACGCTTGAAATTTGGCATGCAGGTACCTTAGTAAATTTAAAGCTTAGTTACAACAGGATATTGCAAAATTCTCACGGGAACGGGAGTTAGCGGGAAAAAACATTTGTATGAAAAAATCTAAACCACGTAAGATACATGAAGGGGGTAAAATGGGATCCACGCGTACGAAGTCGCGGGCGGCCGCTAGTATGAAATAAAAAATTAATAATTACCGCACGTTACTAGTTAGTATTTTTAAATTAAAGTATTTATTGGAGGAGATTTAATGCTATTTGTTTATGAAATCTAATTTAATTTGTCCGCTTAATAACAAAATGACGGGATGTTAGTATTTTTATAATTACTTAGTTATAGCCAATTTAATTAATGTAATACGCTGATTAAATAAAATTACACGCGAAATTTTAAAAGTAATATTAAGTAGGACCTACATGAGTAGCGTTTTATGCAAGACCTACGTACCTAGATAATGAAATAGAAATGTCAATGTCTCGTGGTTAGAAATTGTTTCTTGGAATTTGATCCTCGACCATGAGATAGTTTTCCTTCCGTTAATAATACGGTTAGGTAATTCATATTCCCTTTCATTGATGAATCAGTGGCTAAGACAGACGATGTGTAGAGTCTAGTAAAATTACCGTTGTTTATTACATTTTTAGACCTGTTTAGTTTGCTCTACCACATAGGCATAGATTTAGGTATTTGGAGCTATTGATAGTGCCTTGCAGGACATCGGTGTCTCTATATTGCAGGCGCTTGATTTTCTAGGATAAATCTATACGAGGACATGGCGAAGTATTTAGGAATACTTAAGAATCGAATTTTACAGTGTCATAGTCAATGATCCTAAAAAGGTGTCTTTAGCTTCGGCTTGTATTCTACGAGTCTCTATAAGTACTACTGGTAATTTGTAATCGCGCGTAATATCGGGTCGGCCTCTGCTTTTAATAAAGATGTAGTAAGTGCTATACTTTTGTAATGAAAACAACAATTCAACAAGTAATTAAACTTATTTAGGCTATCAACTTCTCAAGGTCGTAAGCAGTCACACGGTTACTAAACATTGCTCAACTTTTTCAAATTAAACCGGCACCGATCGACCGTTTAATTTTAAATCTTCTGATGCAAAGCTTTGTTGTTTTGCGACATTATTATCGAAATTGGAACACATTCACTCTTTGTTCAATTCTTTCTTATTTCTTCGTAACCAGTAGATAGGTTAACAAATAATTTAGGTAATAGCATTTTATAGGTAGTTCTCTTGCACAACCATTTCACTTAATGAAATTTTTGGAAGTTTCATTCAATGCCTATTGTAATGAAGTTTTCCGTTGTGTAATTTATTTGTTAAATAAGTTCCTTCGATCGATTTTGCTCCATTATTAAATAAAAATCTTAATCATTTAACCATGAAAATTCATTGGTTTCCGGTTATTCTATTAACGTATCTGAGCTGTAACAACATTGGTGTCAACCAAAGAAATAATTTACCTAAATAAACTTAATTTAGAAAACCACACAAGTTAATTTCCCATTAGGTAGATAGGTAGTTACATATTTTTTAAGACCAGGGATTCCTGCAAAAGCAGTTTTACTTTTGATGGAAATTGAAGCCATGATAGCCGAACGGTGAAGGGGTCGGACTGGCCGACTCGTCACCCGAGGAACGCGGGTTCGAACCCCGACCGCTTGACTTTTGTGGTGAGCCCAGTTTGTGTCACGCACAAACGAGCTAGTACGAGGGGCCAACGCGACGGGGCTATTAGTATTTTGTGTACCCAATGATTACAATTCTTTAAAAAAAAGGTTCGGATCAGGAGGAGTCTGTTAATCAACAATGCCATTTTCTAGGTGAACGTGATCCAAGCTGCCCTGAACGCCGCGCAAGCCACCTCAGAAAACGCCAATGAAGCAGCGTCCCAAGCTGCCGGTGAGCTCGGAGCACAGACTGCCATGGTCGGCGCTGCACGACAGAGACTGCAGACCCTGCAGGAACAGCTGCATGGAGTCAGAATCGACTTCGAGGCCACCCAATCTGCTGCTAGGAAGGCTCAGGTATGTACAATAGACCCAACTGAAGAATAAGGGTCATGGTCATGCTGATCGTCTCAGCAAGCTGCTCTGGTTCAGGATTTTGAAGCAGCCTAGCTGATCTAATACCCGGGTAAAGTATCTTGGGCAATATTTTGATTTTCATCCGAAGTGTGGCAAAAGTGCTGCTGGTCATAGACAGGCTCCACTGGTTCTAGATGCAGTTTAGATTACAATAGTCGGGAGTGAGTTCGAAGCTGCTACCAAGATCTATGCTTAGTAGAATCAGGTAAGTAGCACGTAAGTAGGTATTAAACCATATGCATATTATAGATATTAAACTGTGTGTGGCCATGTTCCGATTTAGGTTTCAAATTAGTACTGCTTAGTGCTCTTACAACTCTTTTTTCACTAAGTTTAAAACTAACTCCGTAAACTCTTCAAATGAAGTTACGTCATAGTCCAGGAGTCTAGAGAAAAAAAAAAACTAACACATTTAATTTTTTAACAAATCTATTATGGACAGGCATATTCCTCTTGTTAATAATTGCATGTTTTTGCTAAACAGGAAGCAAAGAACGAAGCAAAGGCGTACATAATTGAAGATATAAGAATAACCATGTACTTCTAGTGAATGATTCTAGCTGGGGTAATCTATAATAAAAGGCTGATATGATGAAAAACTTTCTTTCATTTCTCAGTTTTTCATTTGAATACTTTCCCCCATTTTTACCAAAATATAAATTAAACATTATTAAAACAGGTAGGTGTTTGACCCGTAGATAGGATACACATCATTATAAGAGTTCTGATACCCTCACTCAATCATGAATCTTTACATTATTTATTTATGTCACAGGCGGCGGCCCAACAAGCCCAAGCTAACGCCGCGGCAGCGGCAGCCAAGGCAGCAGCAGCTGGTCTAGGAGGTCAGAAGGACTCCTCCCACGAAGGTACGGTTTATGAGGAGTACCAGGTCGTCCCAGCGTCAGAACAGAACAACAGCCAAGAACAATATTATACTCTGCAGTCGGATTACCACCACTAGTAGCAATAAGGTTTTAGGTGCACCAGGCCTGATTCTGTGTAGAGTTCTAAAATTGAATTTATTATGAGAGAATAATTTACTTTTTAAATTCTTATCCTTGTATTAGGAAATGATGCTCTAGACTTGATTTACCCAGGCATAGATTCTAAGCTGTGATTGGTTGAATTGCAATATTTAAACAAATCACAGACTCGAATCTAGTCAAGTGCAGATTCGTTTACGAGCGTCATTGCTTAATACGGGACTTAGATTAAGTCAAATACTCTCTGTCTTTAACTCTCTAATTCAATTTTTATAGACCAAGCACAGTAATCGGAACCTTATGTTCTAAGGTTTCAACTTTTTCAGTTTATTCGTTAAGTTTCTGATAATTTATTTAATAATAACGCCGAGTTGCATTTTCAAAGTGATGCGAAATAAACTAGACAAACGTTGGACCTAAGAACTAGATAAGTAATAAGGTTATTTTTACAATAGGATTTCAACCTAATGATTAGCTTAAAATATTTATTTGATAACTTTTGAGTCCTATTTTAATCTTAACCAAAATCTAGGTTTTTACAAAGTGTAAATAAACTATTTTTGTTAACATAGCTAATTTTTACAACTGAATGTTGTTAGTCTTTTATATTTTTGAATGTTTTTATACCTTTTTATATTTGCAGTTTATTTATTCAGTTGTTAATATTATATTAGGTGCTTACATTTTTGTATAAGTATAATTTTTTTATAGTTATATTGCAAAAATGGCAGCACCATCGAATTTGGCACGCAGTCACCACCATCACTAACATAGTGCTAATATTTTGCAAAATTAAGTGCGATGTCTCCAAGCCATAGTGTGCTACAAATAAAAACCGATGTTTGTGTAAGAAAAAATAAAAGAGTTTTGTTAAAACTGCTTATTTTAATACGAACTTGACGAACTCTTGACTATTTCTGACACTGGACTATTCAAAACTGAAACTAAACTTAATAATAAGTATGTTGTCTATCTGATAACATGACTCACAGAATCTGAGGTTTATTTTCTCTTAACATACTCAACTACTTTACTTATCAGTTGGTTATCACTCGACTTGTTCTGACTTGACATCTCACTTAATTCTACTATGACTTGACTAACATTCATCCCTAACATTAATTAAGTACCTCACCACCTATACAATATTTACCTGCAATACACGATTCCTTAACACTAACACACTAAAGTATTATAGAGATTAGATAGCTATGAAAACCAGAAAAACCCTTGCAATAACCTTGGCGATTTTGAGAAATATTAAGATAATATAGTCAAAAAGTTCTCTACTGTACCTATAGTCAATCATAGAAATATTACAGGACAAAATCATTTTAGAATTTAAAGACTAGGTTCGACTCCTGGTCAGGTGAATTATGAGTAGGAACGAGAAGGAAAATTAGTTTTATATTTCGGCTATTTGCTTAGTAGTTCTCAGTCTTACAATCCAACTGATAGGACCAAAGCCTAGTGAATAAAACGGTAATTAACATAATAAAAACTCACGTAAACCCCGCTTTCATCACTCACTTTTCTCGCCTTCTAACGAATCGAGGAGATTCGTAAAGCGAGTTGTTTCATTCTTTCAGAGGGGTCCAGCGCCCAGGTCCACTACGAGACTCAAACCTCACAGCAAATTCACCCCAATCATGAAGACACCATACCCACATTCGACAATGCACTCGAAAATACCTCACTTAAGCCCATCGTGCTTGACATTGACCCATACGCAACAAAACCAGCGCACTTCAAACCAGTTGACACAGTGGAAATAGAGATTTTACCAGATCCATTTGCTTTTAACCAGCACAAAAGCACAAAACCTCGAGCCTTACCGGTCAAGGCATTTAACGTAAACTACTTTGCGAATAAAAAGTTACAAAAACTAACAGCCAAGCCGATAAAATTGTTAGACGCTGATTCGTTCGAAGAAGTGTTTCCCGATGATTATGTAGATCTGAACAATTTTTTCAAGAAACAAGGAATATGGTCGCAAGGAAGTAAATGGTGGTAGGTTGTGGGGTCTTTATTAACGTATAGTTAAAACATTTCATCTGCCGTATTCTAAAGTAGATCTAAATCACCTAGCTAGAATATTATTTTATCCGAATTGCTGATAAAAGTGAGCCTAAAAATTTGTAACTTGGAAAAAGTAAGATTTATTTATTGACGAATCAATAGATAGCAATAGTTATTCCAGTCAGATTAATTTACACTCGAAACTTTTTATGTAGGCCTAGGCTTATTTAATTATGGTGGAAACTTAAACTCTTTCTCATAGTCCTTGTTCATCAGAATAATTAACACAAACGTTTAAGTGGACAATAGGTAGTACTTTTATTCGGGCATCATTGAAACAACCCCTACGTGGATAGGGTAAAGAAAAGGTGACATTATTTTTTGCAGAAGTTCATGACGCACCTGCTGAAGAGGCTGAGGAGGGTGATGAAGAAGAAGAGGAAGACTGCGAAGAAGAGAAATAAATAACCAAATAGTAAAATTAATTGCCATTAAGTTTAATATTTTAGTTTTATACATCTGTTAAGTTTGAAATAAAAACATAAAAAATAAAATCGTTCTACATTTTATTAGCAACTTGCTTCGTAAATGTGATACTAAACGTCAATGTCACAGGTCAATGTCAAATGTCAATCAGTTTTTATACGTTTCATTTCACAAAAAGAAAAGAATTCAAGTATTTTTTAAAAACGACCCTTTATTTTACATTAAATAACAATAAAATAAATTGAAAACGAATAATTATCTTATAATTTACTTTTGATTGCATAGATCGGAAATAGATTTGTAGTAAATAAATGCTTTGTTTAAATTAAGCTTACAGCCTTAGATTATATTAATCTAAGCTTACAGCTGATAAGTTTTTTGACGTGTAACGAGACGTAGATTCATCTGTCATTCAAAACTAAGGTCGACTCGTGCGATACACGTTGAATTTGTTTTAATTTTATAAACAAAAATGTCTGTTGTTAAGAAAAAGAAGCACGTTTCTAAAAAGAATAAAAAGGCATGGAGAAAATATTGTGATATCAATGATGTAGAAGAATTCTTAGAGGACCAGCGGCTGGAGGAAAGATTGGGGTGAGGTTATGTTTATCAATTTGAAACTCATTTTTGTTCCTTTTGACCTTTGAATATACAAAAACAGCTTATAAAATTCAACTACGATACAATTAAAAACATAAACGGAAGATGCATAAAAGTAACTGGACATAATATCTACCTCAGTACTTTTAAAAACACCACATTTTTTAACATAATGAAAGTACCAAATTTACTAGTATAGTACAGGATATAACTATACGATTCATACACTTAATCACTGGAGTTTAAATTATTCTCAGCGATATCAAGAACATAATAAGTACTCAACAATTTTGTGATCCACAGTTCTTATGAAACAATTTCTAATTATCATTACTGCTTATTTTAGAAAGTTTGACACTAAGCCAGACAGCGAGTTGTTCGTAGTTGACACACAGGGTGATGAAAATACTAAAGCAAAAGAAAAAACAGCTGATGAGACTGCAAAAGTCGTGGCTAAGCCTAGATCAGCCAAGGAGAGGAAACGTCTACAGTTGTCACAGACACCTAAATGCTTCGAAGTTTTGCTACCTACTTCTAAGGTAAACCTGATGTCTAAATATCAACGAACATAATAAAAATGTGCTTAAAAATTAAGTTCCAAATTGATCACTACTTTTTTATAAAATTGTCAGTCAAAAATTACTTATTTTGTGGTGAAAATGCATTATCCTAAGTCATTTTCGGTTCATCAGTAGATACTAGATAGTACATTTTGTATTTTAGTCTGTATCAAGATAAAAAATTACATAAACTCTTCATGGACCAGTAAAAAAACCCAATAGAAACCTAATTTAGTCTGCCATAAGATTAAATTAAGTATTTTCTTTTAGGTACAAGACCCAAATGCAAAGAGGAATCACGTCAATCCAGTGGGCTCCAAACCAACGGCTCTCAGTAAAATAAATGAGAAAAAATGCATTGAAACAGGAAAATTCCAGAAGAAAGTTGAAGTTGCCAGGAAAAATAGAAAAATTGCTCTGGATAAAAAAAGGAAGACTAAAGCCATTAGAAACACATTTGATTTGGACTTATGGGGTCAAGACTGTAAGTTGAATATTATAGATCTTTTATTGATCATCATCATCATACAATAAAGACTGTCATCATTTTGATGATGGTACAACTTACTTTGTGCCCAGAACTTTGAACATGTGTTTTTTGTTGTTTCAAAAAGTTCTTATTCCATTGTGATCAAAAATATTTTATCTTTGAAATATCTGAATTTGATAAGACAAAATGATCCCTCATTTCATACAGTTTTGATTGAACTCATTTTTGTTAAATAAAAACACTAATAACTCGTCTCTCACATTTTACATTTGCAGTGCCAGAAGCCAAAGGTATCCCCGAAACGCTATGCGAAGAGTTTGTTCCGACAGAGGCACAGCTACACAACGTTCCAACACAGAGGAGGTTGCGGCCCAAACCACCTCTACCGAAGACTGTGGTTACCAGATCAGCTGTGGACACTCCACACCCAGGCATCAGTTATAACCCTAGTTTTAAGGTATTTACTATTTCTTTATGATCAATTAAGTAATGATGACTTAAAAATAACTTACTTTTTAGGTAATCACAAATTGTCAAATCGTTTATAAAACTCTGCTGACTATAAAATTATTTATTAAAATTCGGCCACTTCTCATCAGAAGCCAGTAGATATGTTGTGTCAAAATTGATAGGTATAAGAGCAAAGTATACATATTTAGGGTGTCTAAAAGTGTTCTGAAAAGGGCCTACATACTAACAAAGAATGTTCGTTCGTTCGTTCGTTTCAGCCAAATGACGTCCACTGCTGGACAAAGGCCTCCTCCAAGGTCCCCCACAACGAACGGTCCTGCGCTGCCCGCATCCAGGCTCTTCCCGCGACCTTTACCGTCGTCGGTCCACCTAGTAGGAGGCCTGCCCACGCTACGTCTTCCAGCCCGTGGTCGCCACTCGAGAACTTTCCTGCCCCAACGGCCATCGTCTCTACGAATGAGGAGATCCGCAGGAGAACCAAAGTAACCGACATAGCAAGCAGAATTGCTAAAATCAAGTGGCAGTGGGCGAGGCACATAGCTCGTAGAGAACAAAGAATGTAACAAACAGAAAATATAGTGTAGGTAGGCAGGCCTCACACTTGGTGGACAGAAGATCAGGTGAAGATTGCAGGAAACACCTGGATGCGGCAGCATAGGACCGGTTGTGGTGGAAATCCTTTGATCAGCAGTGGACGTCATTTCACTGAACAAACTAATAAAGTTGGATTTTGAATATTCCCAGGAGCACCAAGAGTTGCTGCAAGAAGTAGTGCAGCACGAACAGAAGATGATGAAACGCGAGGCGCATTTGCTGCGCGTCACTAATGGCATGTTCAGGAAGGTCACGCAGGAGCAGAAGGAGGTAAGGTTTTGATGAGGATCCTACCACTACAAAGAGGTTAAATATTAGAGCGGATTGTGTTTAAAACATTGCTGATTTTTTAGATATTTTGCTGAATTTTTGGTATTTGGAGCAGATGATGGTGAAATTACGTCACTACCGCTCAAAACTATGTCAAACTATGTCATAGATCGTTTTATCCACGAAGACGCGCCCCACCAATTTTTGGTCAAGCGAGGCGCGGGGTGCGGGGAGTTTGATCCGAGCAATCCGAGCGTCATTATTGTAGTGTGCGTGTGCACTCATGAATGATTTAGCGTGTACCGATAACACTCAAACATTAGCGTAAGAAAGAATAGTGGGG